AATTTGTTTTAGTATTTAATTTGGACTTATTTTCGTTTTATTATATTGGCCATGAAGGTGACAACCTTTAGGACATTAAGCTTTACACGGAATGGTTGCTAACCCTAGTAGAGGGGTATAATAAACAACCAATGTATAATACATGTACATGTATAATAAATAACCAATAAATAAATCTTCATCAATTATAACTTAGTGACAAATCAGTGATTGTAATAAGAACTGCAACAAATACATAATATACAAACAAATCAGTGTTTAATACAGCTACAAGGGTTGAATTATAACCCAACAACCTGAGTATCGAAGGAGAGTTTTAATACATTTTATAACTATGTAACAAAAAATACCATCAACGATTTATTCAGAATTCATCCAAAGAGCTTGAAAATATTACCATATATTTAAAATTGGAAAACCACTCAAAAACTATAAAAAACCTCGATGAATTATTATAGTTACAATTACTTTAATATTTATTTATTTTTTATTTATCATTATTTGTTTTCTCAATTTTTCTTCATATGACAACAATTTAATTTCATTTATTTATTAATGTTTAAAAGGATTACTAATAAGTAACCTTTTAGAATAGATGTTAATTGTCCATATATTCCCAAACTTACTGAATGTTTTTTTTTTGTATAATACAGATTGTAATTAATAAAAGAAATAGAAAATAATACATTTAAAATTATTGAAGTTGAAATTAAAAGTTTAAATTTGTAAAACAAACATATTCGATTTTTTTTATTTTATTAACTTCCCGAAGGAGAAGATTATGTTTTCATCAAAAAATCCGATTCGCTAATTTTATGTTTTCTCGACGTTTCAAGCCATTCTGAATCGAATGAGACCAAATTTGGAAAAAGTATGTATGTGTGTGTGTATGTATGTGTATGTGAACAGATTTTTTCATTCTGCATTCAATAAAAATAATTACATTTAGCAGAGAATGTTGACAAGTTTTATATACAAAAAAAACTGATCAGTTTTCATGAAAACTGGATGAAATATTAAAATCGGAGTAAGAATTCAATTTATAAAAAGGGCTTAGATTGTGAATCTTATACTATTTATAGGTTAAAACTTTCTATAGAATTAAGAGATATTTATATTCAATGACAGGGATTTCGCAAAGGTCGAGTCGCACAATTATGAATAGTTAAAAGACGAGTGGGCGCGGAGTTGAATAATTAAAAGCGGCTTTAGTTATACGACAATGTTAATTATCCCATCAGAAGATGTCTGGGAAATTATGAAACACTTTTTGATAAATATGTTGTAATTAATTTGAATTGGGCTTACTAGTATGTCTAAAAATATAAAAAGACATAGAAAAGAAATCAGGGGCATAGAAAAAAAACTAAGAAAATAGAATTGACAAAATTGTCTATTATGTTGGTGTTATTTAAAAAGACAAGGAGGCGTCGTTCGACCACGTGAGCCTTAAAGGGAGAGGAAAGGGGTTGACAGAAAATCACGGAATACCACTTTGGGGAGGGGGATATAGTAACAAAACACGTGTATTTATTTTCTACTTCTATTCTAAAAAAAAATCTAAAATCTAAACATATCATTTTTGATGAATACGTTGCAATTAATTTGAATTAGGCTTATTAGTATGTCTAAAAATATAAAGAGACACAGTGGTATAAAAAAACTAAGAAAATAGAATTAACAAAAATAGTCTATTTTGTTGATGTTATTTAAAAAGACAAGGGAGCGTCCATTAATCACGTGAGCCTTAAAGAGGAAGGGAGGGAATGGGCAAAATATCACGTAGAGGAGGGGGGAGGGATTCTAGTAAAAAATCAGGTGTATCTATTTTTTACCTCAATTTAAAAAAAAATTTAAAAATTAAAAAAAAAAATTAAATTTTTACTATTTTTTCTAGGTACTAAAATACACGTGATGGTGTGAGGAGAAGGGAGGTTGATTTTAAATTTAAATATTATAAAGTGGGGGGTTTAAGAATTCTTAGAAATTGCTCACGTGATTAATGGACGCCCCCCAATGAACAACGTAATTAATTCAATATTTTTTAGAACTAAAGGATCCTATAAGCTGTTGTGATGATTTGACTTCACAAACTACATAGTTTTTACAGATGGCAATCCAAACAGTTGTCCTATCTCTATAAAATGAACTTTACTATTACTATTACTTGAAAACATATTGCTATCAATATATCCAAGTAAAAACATGACACAGCTGCTTGACATAAGGCTGTCCAAGGTAGGTATCGAAACTCATATTTCCGATAAATCCCATAGCTGTAACTACTTCCCCAGGGGCAAACCCAATACAAAATTAGTACTAACATTAATTTTGAATATAAAAATATGTCTCTTACATTTCATGGTCAATGCCAAGGTAATTGCTTTTCAGAGTATCGAATAAAAATTTGTTAATAAGCCCTTAGAAAAAGTAAAGATTTCTAACAAAATAAAGAAACTGCATAAAACGCTCATTGGGGCCCTCCTTCGCCCAGAAGCCCTATATTCGCCACTATTAATATTACCATTATTATTTATATTTATATTATCACGGGTTCAGAATTAGAATCTTTATAGTAAAAAATTAGACCAACTAAAGTTACACCAAGCTTAATAATGAAATTAAGTTATGCAATTGACAACAATGTAAAAAGAAAATTTATTATAATAATATTGCAGATAGTTTGAATAATAATATTATAATGTTCGAGATTTGAAATTAATTAGAAATAGATTTGAAATTCTTGAAAAATTCGCTTCGAAAAATGTATAAATCTCTACTCTAAAAGAATACTGTTAGCCCGTCGTGATGTCATGGTTAAGAACGTAGGCAAGCACAAACTAGGCCCGGATTCGACTTCTTGGTCAGCTCGATAACAATCAGTATGATATAAAATTTTCACTTGAGATTGTAAAGCTGAAATATAATCTCAAGTAAAAATCGCCTATCATAAACATTGCTGCAATAATACATACTACAAAAGCAATACATACTACAAAAAAGGGTGGTTGACCAAAGGGTTGCCTTGGTACTAGGCAAGGATTAATACTAGGTCAGGATGTATGATAAGAAATAGGTCATAGAACACGTTGTTTTGATAGCTGTTA